GTAGTTAAATTTTGAATAGTTCGGAGAACCGGAAAATCCCACCTCTGACTGGCCCTGCCCCATCTATTCTCTGCTTCCCATTGAGTCCCAGCTGATCAGCTAGGTCTTCTTTGGTTGCCCTGCACAGGAGAATGGAGCTGGAAAGCAGGTTAGTGGGGTGGGGAGGGAAGGGGGATTTTGCAGTATCCTTCCTGTGCCATGCCTACCAAGCTTTGCCAACCAAGCCAGGCCAGAAGGAAATGTCTCTTTTTCTGCTGTGTGAAAATCCAGTCTAAGTTCTGTATTCTTCCCTCTGCATGCATAAAATGTGTTCCCAATGATTTCCACACACACACACACCCCTACTTGGCATTCTGGTTAGCAAAACAAGGATGCTCAATAAATATTGCCTCTGCAAATCACGCCCACCAAGCCACAACCACAGAACAGGTAGTAAAAAAATTTGAATCCCACCACTGGACAAATGAGAAGGATAATAAGTAATACAGCCCTACTAGACAATGTTGTTTAACACTGCCCTACACAGCCCTACTAGATTAGTTGTTGAACAGAGTGATAACACACTGTCCTTGTGTCTAGTTGTTCTGGTGTGCAGTGCTCTATAGCGTCGTTTTGAGGGTAGAAGTTGAAACAATTTAAGTCCAGGATGTGAGGGGTCTGTAGATATTTTCACAGCCCTCTTTCTGGCTTGTTCATTTTACACAGGTCCTCAGGGGAAGGCAAGCTGGTTACAACTGTTTTTTGTTTTTTTTCCTGCAGTCCTAACTGTCCGTTGAAGTCTGTGTCTGTTCTTTTTGGTTGCTGGGCCAAATCAGGCAATTGTAGAGGTGCAAATGACAGGCTTCTGAATCGTCTTTAAAATAAAAGGAAGGTGGTTTAACTTTAAAACAAAGGAAAGCAGGCCAGTACCCAAGGCATTGAGACAAAACAGCAAGTACGCGAAATGCCAAAGTATGTTGAATTAACAAGTGTTGGCACAGGAGAGAGACGTATAGCCAATGAAACTTGGCTGGCAAAGCAATTGCTCTACAGCACAGGGCCATCATGGAAGCCTCAAAGAGTCTACGCACAGCTGTGGTCAAAGGCTGCACATGGATCTTATAAAGTCTACCACCTGGCTCTCACGTTACCATAAGTGCTTATGGAATAAACATGAGAAACGAGGCCCCATGCCACTTCAAGACAGGTTTCCACCACATAAAACAGGGCAGCCCTCTGGAAAAGGAAAAGAAAAGAACTCCAGCTTTTAAATGGTTTACTGGAGATGGATAAAGTAAAGGTAAAGGCTCCCCTCGCACATACATGCTAGTCATATGTGTGAGGGCCAGCTCTCTGTCTGAAGACGTCTCTGTGGTCATGTGGCTGGCATGACTAAACGCCTTTGAAGGCACACGGAACGGTGTTCCCTTCCCACTAAAAGGTTCCCTGTTTTTCTACTTGCATTGTTTACGTGCTTTCGAACTGCTAGGTTGGCAGAAACTGGGACAAGGAATGGGAACTCACTCCGTTACGCGGCGCTGGGGATTTGAACTGCCGAACTGCTGACCTTTCGATAAACAAGCTCAGCGTCTTAGCCCCTGAGCCATGGCGTCCAACGGATACATTTGTTCAATTTGTTTCTGCATCATAGGAGCACCGAAGGAGGTGGGGCAGTCTTAAGTGGCTGACCTTTTCCTCAGCGGCATGAAAAATATGCTTTCAGCGTGAAGCAGAAAATGATTTTACAGGGAGGAGAATCTATGGGCAACACTCTTGAAAACAAGCAGGCATCAGAAGTTCTTCAAAGCCAGGTTTTCAAAATCCCAACATTATAGGGTTATTGTGCGGGAGATTATCACACACTAAAAGCATGTAGCGACATGAAAGGATGGTTCAAGTTTTTCCCAAATGACTTGCTAACGTGTTCCCCTTCTTATAGCATCGTGTTTCTTGTTCTCCTGTAATATTTTTACTTATCCAATTTAAACAGCCTGGCTGTTCATACTTGATAAAAATATTCTAGGTTGAACATTAAAAAAAAGGTGTCTGATTAGAGATAGATAGCTAGATAGAAAATAGATAGGTAGGTATGTAGGTAGGTATGTAGGTAGGTAGAAGATAGGTAGGTAAGTAGAAGGTAGGTAGGTAGGTAGGTAGGTAGGTAGATAGGAAGATAGCTAGACGATAGATAGATAGACATAAATAGATATAGACAGAGAGACAGACAGACAGAGACAGAAAGACAGAGACAGACAAACAAACTGTGAATGGCTGGAGATAGATAAAAGAGAGAAAGAATGGCTAGAGATATGGATGAAGATATGGATAGAGATATAGAGATATATGTGCTTGTATGTGTATCTATCTATATTATTATATCTATTGAAAGAGGGGTCAACGAGGCCAACTACACTAATATTGAATTTTTAGTTTATTGTTGTTGTGTATTTTTTTGCATTTTGCATAAATTTATAAATCACTTGAAATTATTTTTGTATAGGAGATAGCATAACTCTATTAATACATTACTATTAATGGTAATATATTAATACCTTATCAAGATTTTCAGGTCATTCTTTCTTGACATACTCTCTTTATATGATAAATAAAGGACATATCCATTTTTTCATAAAATATTTTATTCATTATAATAATCAATATACAAAAATAGCAACTTTAATGGCTAAGGGATGCCTTTACTTACAGAATTATTATAAAGTCAGAGCTGTTGTTTTACTACACTTCTAAAGAACACATCAACAAACAATTTCTATTGGAAAGACTCAAGGGAAAGAGACTATTATTTACAGCACTAAAAGACTGGAGTAACTGTGAATAATAATTTTTTAAAGAAGTAAGATTCTTTTCTCTGATGGCCAACATTCATGAATCATTAATCATACATCACTTTTTTTTTTTAACATGGCTAAATATATATGAACTGAACCTACCTAACGGATAACCTACTCTAATTCCTAAGCTAACCAAAGTCCATTTATTTATTTATTTATTTATTTATTACCTTAAATGACAGTTCGGTCTTTTAAAAACACTTTCTCTCCAACTCTGGTGCCTAAACACTAAGAAGAACAGATAGTAGTGATTAAGGAGGGGAAAATAACAAATCAAGCCTGAAACAATTTGTGCAGGGAAGGTTCCATCCTCAAGACACATCAAATCCATTTCATGTAAGGAATTACAGCTTTAACCCTGAACAAGAAGCTTGCACAGTTCCCCTCAATGATCCCAGGTTTGCATGTTGGTTGATACAATTGGTGGCTACAGTTTTCTGTGCCAGGCAGTAAGTGACAAAATGCCTTTTCATAGGAAGAACTTCCATCCGTGTATGACCAAAAAGAAAATGAGTGTTTTCAAATGTTCTCCTAGGCATCATCATCATCATTTTCGTTTAACAACCCCATAATCCCTTGCGGGGTGGAGTCTGGGCCACTGAATGGAGCTAGCAGAGTGTTTTAATGGCCAGGTGCCCTTCCTGTCACCAGTGCGGAGTTTTGTTCAGTAGATATAGATTCCGATTGTGCCCAAAGAGAGAAGTATCTGTCTCTACCTAGGATCGAACTCACAACCTCCTGATTGTGAGGTGAGAGCTCCACTGCTAGGCCACCTCACCACACCAAATGTTCTCCTAGGCATAACTTGTTCTAATTAACAGTCCTTGCGGGAGGCTACAGAATCATGGATGCTTCAGCAAACACGGACATGAACCCATGAAATATCATCCTTTCCCTCTTTCTTCTGTTTTTCGGCATCGTCGTTTCCAAATCATAGGAGTCAGGAACAATAAAGAGTCTCGTTTTTACGTAATTTCCTTCTTGCTCACTTACCCAGGAGGACAAAGCGAGGGGTGCTTTAGGAGGCCACCAAGAATATCGGGGAGTTCCAGGTTGAGAATATCAATAGCCCTTAGACTTATATACCGTTTCACAGTGCTCTCTAAGTGGTTTACAGAGTCAGCCTCTTTCCCCCAACAATATGGGTCCTTATTTTACCCACCTTGGAAGGATGGATGGCTGAGTCAACCTTGAGCCTGGTGGGATTCAATCTGCCAACTTGCAGGCAGCAGAAGTAGCCTTCAGTACTGCACCGTAACCACTGCGCCACCGAGGCACTTCTTATTTTTCCCAGTGATCTTTCACAAAATCCAGGATAGCAGCTCAGCAGAAGGGAGAAGTTCGCTCCAAAAGAAACCTCCTGAAGTTGCTGATGGATAGAAAGAAAGAGTAGCATGGATGGAAGACACAATGAAGGATAATGCTCCTTTGGCAAGGTAGACAGTGGAGTGTTTTGGGTTGGGTTATCTCCAAAAGCTGATGATTCTTCTGGCCAGGGTGGGGAGTTTCAAAAGGATTTCACAACAGGACTCTGAATAACAGAGTGTCCTTGATTTAACTAACCGTTTGTTTAGTGTGATCATTTGCTGAAAAAAAGATACGTGCTCTTATGACCATTGCATATCCCCAGGGTCATGTCATCAAAATTCAGGTGCTTGGCCACTGGTATGGATTTATGACAATTGCAACATCCCAGGGGTCATGTGCTCACCAACTGTGAGACCTCCAGCTGGCTTCCTGTTGTCCAAAGTCAAAGCTGGATTTGCTTCATGACTGCATGACTCACTTAATAACGGAAGTGGATCCCTTAGCATTAAAAAAATGGAGAAGGCTCAACTGTCTGCTGAGCCACGGAATTTCTAATCCCATCTGTGGTTGTAAATTGAGGATTATCTGAAATTGTTTAAATTAAAACAAGGGAAAAATCACAGAAGTGATGCATAAATTCTATCTGTAATCTGTAATTTGCAGAAATCAAGCTTTCTTTCTTTCTTTCTTTCTTTCTTTCTTTCTTTCTTTCTTTCTTTCTTTCTTTCTTTCTTTTTCTTTCTTTCTTTCTTTCTTTCTTTCTTTCTTTCTTT